TCCGCAAATAGGAGAGGATGTAGGACTCGGGAGCTATAATAGGTTTGGTAACCAGGCTAGCTTGCTCAAACACAGTAAGGGAAACTGTAAAGACTAAAGTAAGCTTAAGGAAAGCACAAGACATACATACAACTTATGGGGGTGGGGTTAATTACCTGTAGTTCAAGCCAGATTTTTTCTTCCACGGCACCTTGGAGTAAGTTCAGAAAGACAGGGAAGAAGGATAAGTCGAAAGAAATTAAGGAACACACAAACACACAGAAGTGATAGAGATATTCGAGGTAATAGCTACCTGTAGTACAGGCCAGACTCGCTAGAGAGCGCTTCCTCCACGGCGCAGTTGATGATGGTCTGGGCGCCCTGCACGGGTGTTTTGGCGAACGCCGCCATGCCCAGGTAGAACATGGGCTTGAAGACGGTGAACTTCCAGCCGTAGAGTTCTGGCAAGGTGCGCCACAGTTCCGTCTTCACCAGGCCAGGGTGCGCCGCGTAGGCCGTCACTCCGGTCCCTAGCATGGGTGTTAGAGGGGCATTGTGTTACAGTCTCCACCAGACTCCTTTTGCAGGCTAAATACATAGTAGAAATCGGCCTAAAAGTTGTTTATTGGCCAAAGAATAAATAGTAGAAATCGGCCTAAAAGTTATTCATTGGCCAGAGAAGTTGGCCGCCCAAAGAAGCTCCATTTTGCCTGCAGGCTTATTATAATTATGTTACATTTTTGCACCAAAAAGTGTACACTTTTATAGTGATTGTCATCTTCAACATCCAATTTTCAACAAATTTGTGCTATCGTGTAAGATATCCGTCACCGTGAGTTACAGCTGCGAACACACAAACACGGCCGAAAACAGAACCTTCCCGCGGAAGGATATGTCCTTCCCCAGAGGTAAAAAAAAGGTTGATAACAGATACAGCTTACCTTCCAGTCGTTTGGCCAGTTCACGTGTGAAGAGAATGTTCGCCAGCTTGCTCTGCGCGTACACGGGAAACGCCACGTAGTCCTTCTCATAGTTGATGTCCTCAAAGTTGATGCCCTTAGACGTCTTGTGGACGCTGGAGGCCACGACAACCACACGACTTGGAGCCGACTTCTTCAGGAGGTCCAGGAGGAGGTTGGTGAGGAGAAAGTGGCCCAGGTGGTTCACCTGGAGCTGCGTCTCAATCCCGTCTTCTGTTGTAGACTGGGGGCAACAAATACCTGCGAAAAAAAGTTTACAGTACTTCCTACCACAATCGAAGTACGTTACATACATGTACTTTGCATGTAGAATGTGCTTCGTAGAACGCTGCACAAAGTGTTTATAATATAACAGGTGACTGTGTTAAACGTTTTGCTGGCTTAACTCCAGTCTTATATAATAGCATTAGTCCAATTCTAGTCAATTTTTGAGTTGCACATTGTCATCACACTCACGCTACATCCATTGTTCTTCTAAAGAACTTCGAACGAACCCACCACAAGGCTCAAAGGTCCACTTTTGGTCAACTTTTTATGTAAAGGTCAAAGATTTTTCTACAAAAGATGGACTCACAAACGGGGCTGGAATTGTAGGAAAACTGCTCACTTTGCCATTGAATAAAAAGTTATGTTTGATTTCTTCTTTGAAACCCTCTCAAAACGCGGCAAATGCCATTTCGGAAGGATCGTTTTTCACAATTTTCCCGGGGAGCATGCCCCCGGCCTACGGTGCTCGCTGGTCCCTCAGACAGTGGGAAGAACCCCCTATTCAAAATTCTGGCTACGGGCATGCTGTACATAGTTGAAACATACACAGCACTTTTTTTGTAAAACTACTGTACGAAATATCTTTTGACTTTCCAGTTTTTCTTTACAGCTCTGTTACGACTGATTCAAGAAATCCGGTTTCAGAAGCAACTTGACCACTTCCCAGACCTGCGTTGTTGACCAGAATGTCCAGACGATCCTCCCCTTCCGTCACCTTCTGGGAGAACTCACGAACCGAGGACAGAGATGCCAGGTCCAGCTTCAACGTCATCACGTTCTCGTTCCCAGTCTCCTGCACAATCTGCGCCACAGCGGCCTCAGCTCTGGTCTCATTCCGACACGCAAGGATCACTTTGGCTCCTGTTAAGAAATGTCTATTAGTATTATTCATAACATAATTAATGCAACGAAATGATTTTACCTCGCAGATAGTTTGAGTTGACATAGCTAGGTCGGGAGCAAGATCGGCTGGTGTTCGGCGAAGTCGACTACTGGTCGGTTGCGCCAGCCGAATGTTTCAAAAGTCGGGAGTGGACTTTGTACCTGTTTTGTAATATTCTAAGAAATGACATGCAACGCTGTTTAATCTACTTGCAAAACTAGAGTACATTTGCGCGCCAACCAATGCATGTGCATTTTAGGGTATGTTTGAACTTGACACGGGTGTTTGTTCAGGTACGCAATTTACAGCAACGGCCCGTCAACAGACTGGATTTCAACAGCGTCCCAGCGTCTGAATAGTGTTTACATAGCCTATTAGGAGTGTTTGCTTTACAAAGAACGCATCTAGGTAAGAAGGGCAATATAAAAAGATTATAGAGATAAGTTTATTGCAAGTTCTTGCCCGTGGGCTAATTGCAAGTACATGTAAGTGGACATACAAAGAACAGACAATGTGTAACAATACAGCATGTAACTACTCTAGCCTAAATATTGGAATCTAATGTTTAACTCTAGTTCTAACTTATTGGGTTCGGCTTCTTTTTTCGGTAATACATGGGTCGCACACACCACTAAGGGGGGCCTGCAGGGGGGGGGGGTCCCGACAACGCTCTACGCTGAATTCGGAAACTTCTCGATTACGCTTGACGATAAATTCCAAGTGGCCACAACGCATTACGTAGAAATACAACGGCGAACAAGCTCTACGCAAAATGCGCCGAGCGGTCCGTCTACGCTCTACGAAGAATTAAAATGCCCGATTACGCTCTACGGAGAAGGGCTTGCGGGCCCCCACTAAGTTCTCAGCCCCTGCCACATTTTAAAACCTTTCCCAGAACACCAAGGTTGGCTGAGGTTCGGAAGCTGTCTGACCAGATTTAGGCCCGATTTACACGTGCGTCGGTTCATATGTGATTTTTTTATCGTGTAAACAACCTCCGCCACAGTTTTTCTGTGGCACGTCCAGGCCGCGCCTATCTTTCTGCACAAACCGAATCGAATTCCTGTTAATTTGGAGTCAATTTTGACTCCCGGACACGCCCCAAACACTGCTGACCCACTCCCGAACACCAGCCAACCACTAGCCAACAATGGCCGACCCCCTCAAGACAGGTAGACCAAGAAGCAACAGTTATTCTATCTAGGGTCTGCGTATTGCATATTGGGCAGGAGAAAATTCTAGCATCCAGGCTAGCAGTAACGTTACACATGTGATATATATATATACACAGTATACTATAAGTCAAATCTTACCCCTCCTTGCCAGGTCCTTCGCCACCTCCAAGCCGATCCCTGTGTTAGCCCCCGTCACCACGGCTGTCTTGTCTTTCAGGGAAGCTTGGCTCGAACATTTAGGCGGGGCCATGGTTCTAGTAACGAAGTCTAAGTCGTCACCAAACAAACTCTCCTTCTTCTAGGAGATTGAAGCAGTTTGCGTTGTTAGGAACTAGGTCACCCCCAGGGAATGGCGGCTACAGCATCGTATCTGCTGCCGACAACTTCTGGGATGTTTCCCTGTTCTTCTGCCTGACCTCTGACCTGGCGGTAGGGGAAGGGGGTATTGAAATTCGGAGTCTGTGTTGGGTCAAGGTCCTTGGTTGGGTTGACCTTCACAACGCTACTCAAGGACGTTACTCGTATATGCTAGCAGGTAAAGTCGTGTATCTTTTTTGATCATGGGAGTGTATGTATCTGTCTTTGTGTGTATACATTGGCGTGGGGCATTTTAAATGCGAAAAGCCGCCGCTCTACCCGGTGGCGTTTTCCGGACTGTTGCTTTTGTTCCCTTGGGTTGCATAAGGTAATTCTACCCCGAGACGGGTCACTGATCTTACATTGTGAATCCTTACGTACGGGGTTTTTGTCTGCAATTGTTAACGTTACGATTTTGTCGATCGTGACTTTATGATGTGGTCATCATGTTCGTAACTATTGACTTTAGGTTATCCGTTTAATTGTCTACAGTCACGAAAGCATTAGATTCATTGTAGTGTGTTACGCTAAAGGGCGATTATACCGGCTATACAGATACAGATACAGTTGCATAAGATTGTTTGCGAGTAGGTCAACACTTGCCACAGCAAGTAAATTTTATGGATGACATCCTCCGCAGACTCCAAATCTAATGCGATAGGGCGAAGACGAGACAAAAAAAACAAGATTCCTACATTTTCAAATGTTGACATTAATGCGCACCCTGATGCCATCCATAAAGATTACTTGCTGTGGCCTTAATACACATTACAATGCCCTGACCCTATCTGCTGCGTCATAGGCCAAACAACATCATACCATCCAACAGGTGGTCGGAGGTCTGCTTTAAATAGCGCTACGCTTACAACAACTGTACTTCATGTGCATACGTAGGAATGCAAAGTAGCAAAGTGAAGGTCGTCTAAGGGTAACGTGACTTGGGTTCAAACTTCAGCCATGGCCCCGCCTACATTCTCGGACCAAGCATATACGAGTAACGTCCTTGAGTAGCGTTGTGAAGGTCAACCCAACACAGACTCCAAATTTCAATGCCCCCTTTCCTCTAACCCCCCCCCCCCCAGGTCAGAGGTCAGGCAGAACAACAGAGAAACATCCCAGAAGTTGTCGGCAGCAGATACGATGCAGTAGCCGCCATTCTCTGGGGGTGACCTAGTTCCTAACAACGCAAACTGCTTCAATCTCCTAGAAGAAGGAGAGTTTGTTTGGTGACGACTTAGACTTCGTTACTAGAACCATGGCCCCGCCTAAATGTTCGAGCCAAGCTTCTCTGAAAGACAAGACAGCCGTGGTGACGGGGGCTAACACAGGGATCGGTTTGGAGGTGGCGACGGACCTGGCAAGGAGGGGTAAGATTTGTCAAACTTTGGGTCAATTTTGACCCCCTAAAAAGCCCCAACCATTGCTGACCTACACCCAACCACCAGCCAACCGTCCCCAACCATGGCACAACCTCCCGTTCACTCCCGAATGTTTTAACATTATGAAACATTCAGTTGGCGCAGCCGAACAGTAGCCGGCCTCGCCGAACACCAGCCAACCACAACCGACCTTTGTTCCCGACTTCTCCCAACCATGGTTGGGTGGAGTTTGGCAGTGTTTGGAATGACCCCATATTTGGCTACGTGTGTCAGAGGCATTAATCAACCCAAACTATCGACTTTTGTTTACGTTAATGTCTTAATCAAAATGGAAATTTTCAAAACAGGTGCAAAAGTCAACAAAACAACAAGCGCACCCGTGTCACTTCAAAAATACCCAGGCTACCTTTAAAACACACATTGTGTGGCCCGAAAATGTCTCTTAGTTTCGCAAGTAGATTTAGCTTTATGGATAATATTTTTTTAATATTCACATGACAGGAGCCAAAGTGATCCTTGCGTGTCGGAATGAGGCCAGAGCTCAGGCCGCTGTGGCGCAGATTGTGCAGGAGACTGGGAACGAGAACGTGATGACGTTGAAGCTGGACCTGGCATCTCTGTCCTCGGTTCGTGAGTTCTCCCAGAAGGTGACGGAAGGGGAGGATCGTCTGGACATTCTGGTCAACAACGCAGGTCTGGGAAGTCGTGAAGATTACTTTTCTTGTACATATTTTACCGAAGTAACATCAGGCAAACAAGATTCACGGCAATTATGTTTGCTGCGTTTCTTTTGGGTCTTCTAGTCATGAAAGTAAAACATGTCTTAAACAAGCCTATCCTCTGTACAAAGAAAAGCAGACAAAATAGAAAGCCAAACAAAACATACTTTTAAAAAGAGCCAAAATAGAAACAACTGAAATAGGTCTAACCTCTGCTTGGAGAGTACGTATTAACATTTGCTTGCTAAAGTATAACCCTGTTACTAACGCACAGTTGTCGCGATCAGTATATTGTATGATGTGAACATATATCTATGGTACTGAAGTAGCGTTCCATGACTTGCAGGTATGTTCGGGGCCAAGTCTACCACAGAAGACGGGTTCGACACGGTACTACAGGTAAACCACCTGGGCCACTTCCTCCTCACCAACCTCCTCCTGGACCTCCTGAAGAAGTCGGCTCCAAGTCGTGTGGTGGTCGTGTCTTCAGCCGCGGAGAGCGCCGGAAAAATCGACTTCGAAGACATCAACGCCGAGAAAAGCTACGACGCGTTTCCGGCGTACGCGCAGAGCAAACTGGCTAACGTTCTGTTTACACGGGAACTGGCGAGGCGACTGGAAGGTAGTTTTAGCCTGGTTACCAAACCTATTATAGCTCCCGAGTCCTACATCCTCTCCGCAATTAGAGAGGATGTAGGACTCGGGATCTATAATAGGCTTGGTATAACAGGCTAAGGTAGTTTTGCATGTACAATGTATTACATAATCTATACTTTCCTTCATTTCCTCTGTAACTAAAATGCGAGAACTTGAATTCGAGTAATGTTGGCTACTGTGTCTTGTTTTGTCAACCCTGCTAATTGCTTTTATCTATCAATCTTTTTCTTACAATATCCTCCGTAAATAATTTCATCAGGTTGGTGAACGATTAAATAGCTCTTTATTCAAGACCACTTGTTTAACAGGAGCTTATTTACGATGACCGTCTGTCATATTCATCAGAGCAATTATCGAATTAAGTAAGGCTCTTGTCAATCAAGTGGTTGTGAAAAAGGAACTTTATTTTTGTTACTTATTCAAAGAAATAAGGGGGAAGACAGGGAAGGGAGAGAGAGAGAGAGAGAAACAAGGGTGAACTCGGAGTACGAAAGACCAAAGACAAAAGATCAACAAGGCTTCATTGGGTCAGTTTTCATCGTTTAAAACCCATCTCTCATCGTTCAAAACCCAAATTTTCATCGTTAAAACCCCCAATTTTTCATCGTTTAAACCCCAATTTTTCATCGTTTAAACCCCAATTTTTCATCGAGGGAGGGGGAAGGGGAGAGAGAGAAATTAAGATAAATCTTCTAACACCCAGGAACTGGAGTGACGAGCTACGCCGTACACCCAGGGTTCGTGAAGACAGAGATCTGGCGCACGTTACCGGGCATGTACGGCTGGAAGTTCACCCTCATCAAGCCCATGTTCTACCTGGGGATGGCGGCGTTCGCTAGAACACCCCTGCAGGGGGCCCAGACCGTCATCCACTGCGCCGTGGAGGAAGCGCTTTCTAGCGAGTCTGGCCAGTACTACAGGTAGCTTGGATACTTCACATGTTTGTGTGTCTAACATATTTGTGTGTCTTAATTTCGCCTATATGTTTTCTATATCTACATGAAAAGAAGTGCCGTTGAAAATACACTCTCCAGCGAGTCTGGCCTGTATTACAGGTAGTTAAATCTTGAAAACCTAGGTACCTGCATCACTTCTGTGTTTGCGTGTGTCTTTATCTGGCCTTGGTTTGCTTTCCTATGTTTTGCTATACCTACTTGAAAATGAAGTTCCGCGGAGAAGTCTCTAGCGAGTTTGACCTGTACTGCAGGTAGCTTTACTTTGAATAGCTTATCGCTCTAGCCACTTGGGGTCTAAACCTCAAAAATAATTCTTGCGCCTCTCGCGTTCCTTTTCTATAGCTTTCTTTCCCATTGACAAACGATGTCACATGACGTCATGTTTCCGTTCCACAGTGACTGTGACGTCAAGCAGCCTTCCCAGAAGGCCATGGATGACGCAGTGGCGCGTCAGCTGTGGGACGTGAGCGAGAGGATGACGGGATTGTCTTCTTCATAAGCCATAATCACAACTACGGGATGACGTGTTTCTTAGAGCAGACCTTGTCCGATTTCCTTTGGCAACTTTGCCTTTTTTTCTCTACTTCTCATTCACGTATAAGGCCAGGTAACACCAGGAGTTCTAGAAAGGTCTAATGCACAGAACGGGTATAACAACAGGCCTTAGCCCTGCATGTTGCAAATGCACATTACTTGCCACCCAACACAGAATACACAACGACAGAACCATTGAATATGATACTCAGCACAAGGCATAGAATTGTTATATAGACTTTCCAAGCCTATGATATTACCAGTGTATAATTTGCTGTACATTATTTTCCTATTTATGAACTCAAGTTACACTTAAGGGTACATAACCATACATACATGATCAAATTATATATTGAACGATTAAAATGTAAATTACAAAGTCTCGTTATTGAATAATATTAACGTCTGTAATGTTGGCTAAAAATCATAACAAAACACATGAAAAATGGTACAATGATACAATTGAGTTCAACTTTTATAGTCACTACAAAGATAAACATCAATATCATAATACACCATGTTATATAACTTTTACATCATTCATTTCATGAAGACTTACGTATATGTCATAAATATTTTGCTTATACTCGGACAAAATTAAAACAAATCATAAGTAAGGTAGAGGAACGTTAACTAAATACTAGTATTTACGTATCAATTGCCCAAGAATATATGTTTTAGGCACATGTATTAGGAATAGTATGACATGACATTTGGCTGTATACCATAAAAAACGTTTGTATCGTGTAACAGTTTATCAACAATTAATTTGGCAATACGGACACCTTGGTCGTGTTCTTGCAAAATACCGCTCAGAATTAAGGAGTTAAACGTCTGTAGAGATCTAGTAGACGAGGGTGTCCTGAAGAAGTTTCGGTAAGTTGACG